ATTTTGTGATGTTTGACATAGTCAATAATCTATTTTTCTATATATATATATAAGCATTTAACGTTTCAGTAAGAAATGAGAATATGTTAAAATGTGATACTGTTTCTTTCAGTAAAACTGTCCCTTCTATGTCCAAGCAATGCATGATGGACACCTGCGGTTTGCATGACTTTATAGGGCATGGCCTAGGCAACCGAACTCACTCCTCAACAAGAAATAAGTAATGGAAATTACGGGAATGATGAAGTTCGAGAAAAGTTCAACTCAGTAACCTTACGTTTATGTGATGTCAACCTCTTGGTTTTTACATGTCATTGTTGTCGAAATCTTGTTCTTCCTAATAGTGAAAATTGCAACACAATTTCTTGTCCCCTATCAAAAGTTATTCGAAAAATGGCAATTCGCCTTTTATTTTGAAACGGATATTAGTATTGAAAGTATGCGTCCATTTTAATATGAACAATTACGACGATATTTAGAATTAGAAAGTATATCAATACAATGGAAAACAAAATCCATCACTACTAATTCATAACGTAGTTCTGTATTACGTGAAGTTGTAGGAGCTAAAAATAAATAAGATTTATTTCGAAATTAATGAGTACATAATAATCTTAATTTATTTGATACGACTGTACTTATATAATTTAATGTATTCTTTTTAATAGAGTGAGAACTTATTAGTATACATTTTTTTGTTTCAATAATAAAACTATAAAATAGAATCTGATGATTTTATGGCAACTCCTTTTATATGAAACAATGTATACATGTGTGTGTGTGAAAAGAGCCCATGCAGCGTGCACTGTGAAGTAGCGCTAGGTCAATTCGTCGTATGCAGAAAACAATAAGAATAATAAAAATGAATAGTCCGCGACGAATTGACCGACTACATCTGAAGTAACAGCGGACTTGTCTATTTGCAAGCGTGAAATGACATCAAGACTTCAGCTTTCAATGAGTGGAACGAATCTATCGATGATCTGTTCATTGTGGATAACGGCTCGACAATAGCAATAATAATGAGGAAGACTACGACATGTCGACTGAGGCATCGGTCAAGTTCATCGAGGCAATAGAGATGATCAGGCGATTTGTATCTAACAGCTGCATTCTCTCGTAGCTCACTTAGTTCTAAATTAACTGGAAAGAACTCAATCAGAGAACGATGAGCGACTTTTTAAATAAAGATTTGAAGAAACATGTGCCAGCAATGAAAGAGATAATTTTCTGGGTTAGACTGATTGTAGTGAATTGTACACAAGATGCATAGTCATCGCATAATTTATACAGACGATTGTATACATGGACTAGGTCAGTCAATACAAAATCTCTATATATTTAGGTGGATCAGAAAATTAGGCATGTTCTGAAACTATTTCCGACAAAAAGTAAACATCACGAAATTTGATCATTATTCTAATTTATACTCAATATAGCAGAAAACTGAATGATTTTCAAAGTCATTTATATTTACAAGTTGTACAATGATTTTTCTGTTGAAGTTTATTTAACAACTTTTTTTCTTTCTGTATTTCAAACATACAAAAAAAACAAACAAAAATTTCTCAAACATCTACATGATGATATTGTTGATAAGCTTTATTATTATTTAGTCGAAGAAGATAACCAAGTTGTCTTCCAGGACCACATTCAAATGTATTTGGATAAGATTCATGTTTTGCTCGTTGATACATTTTATGAATGGATTGTTCCCATAATACACATTTTGTTAATTGTTGACTAAGTGATCGTTTAATAGTTGCAACATCATTTGAATGACGTTTACCAGTTACATTTGACATAACTTGAATAAGTGGTGGTTGCATATCAATTTTATCTAATGCTTTAATTAATTTTAATTTTGCTGATGCCATTAATGGTGTATGAAAAGCACCACTTACAGATAAATATTTTATTCGACGAATTCCAAATACTTTATAATTATGTGCAATGAATTGTAAAGCCTAAATTTAATATATTTATTATAAAAATAAAACAAAAACAAAGACAAACTTCTTTATGTCCAGCAAGTACTTTACATTCAGCATACATATGATTAGCTATTTGTATACAAGGTATATCAATTTTCATATATTTATTGCACCATTCTCGTGCTGCTTCTATTGCTAAAGTTAATTTTGTTTCACGACCAACAAAAACAGACATCATTCCACTATTTACTTCATTTGATGCTGTTTGCATTGCTTCAGCACGAATCTTAATTAAACGAAGACCATCTTCATAGGTCATACAACCAGCAAAGACAAGTGCTGTTATTTCACCAATACTAAAACCAGCTGTTACTAC